GAAGTAGCGTTTGGACTTGCATGAAAGGAAGAACTGGAGAGCTTTCCGGTTAGGACGGATATCAGTTTAGGTTGTTGCTGCAGAATCCGTTTTAAATCGGCATATCCGTCGGCCATGGTTCGTAAACTCTGTCGCCACTGTTATAGTTGAGGGAACGTCTCTATTTTGATTGCGTAACGCCTGATAAGATGGTCACTCGCACGATTGGAGTACGCCTACGGTAACAGATTGGAACGCTGGCCAATCGAACGGATTTGCGTTGACCTGATGGCGTTAGCTTAGCCCGGGGTACGCGCTGATGAGACGGAAATTGAGCGAGCGTGAGAACGATCCCAGCCTCACGTATTTCGGTAAACGCTGAGCGCTCGGAACGGACGCACACGAGAGGGGGTTACGGTAGACGCGTTAGTGGCTTAGACCCGAACACTGCCAAGCTAACGACGCACACAAAAGCACGTGACCGACTGAGTCCCAACTGAGGCGTCAAAGTAGCATATTTTATGTGAGCTGACATTCAGCATGACTGTAGAGTTGTCTTGATGGTCACTCAGATGGGCACTGCACTAAGACAGGAGTGAAATCATGCCTGTGGGGTTCAAATGGAGTGGTTGGTGAACCTCTTCAGTCAGAAGGAATCTTGGTGACTGAGTGAGAAGGAAGGATGCTGAGGCGGCGTGCGTAACTGAAACAGCTGGGCAGTTATAGAGGTGTTGCCTTGCGCCCATGATGTTCCAACTGAGATTTTGCAAACATTTCTTAATGTAGTCATTTGATCGGCAGGGAACTCGGATGCGGAGTTTCCTGAGCAGTTGTGGAAGGTTGGGGGCGGAGGGTGCCATATCCGTGGCGCAGCCAAGAAGCATCTCGTGCTCCAGCGCAGACCAGTTGCACTGGTGGTTGAATAGCCGCGCCAGACCATCTGCGTTGTAAGCATCCGGATGGACTTGACGACTTTGCTGAGACAAACCACGCTTGCTTTTGAATGTTTTGGTGTATGTTGTGCATTTGAACCCCATCCACTTGACCACGACAGTGTCAGCCGAAAATCCCTTACATTGGTACGGTGGTAAACTAGTGGTTGATCTAAGCCCACGCTTGCGGAAGTAGATCGCGGGCATAAGTCGCAGTAATGTAGGAGTATGTCGTTGGTCGTCAAGTCAGGTAAATTGTACTCTTGCTGTAACTCAGATGATGTGAACGGCTGTTGAGGCGGTGGAGCCATTGATGTTGCTCTATTGTCATCGCCCGGGGAGTTTGGCTGCTAGGATGATATGCCTGGTTTTCTAACAAGACAAGGGATTTGTGAGATCAATGAAATGAATTGTGATTTGTGGTAGGCGAGCGATTTCGAGAGTTGGGTTAGACTAGGGTAGAAGTTGAAACTTGCCAAATTGAAGAACAAAAGTCAGCAAGTCTAGTGTCTTTGCAATTAAAAACATGATTCGTGGGAAGACAGGCCGAGACCTGCGTCGCGGGACCTTCAGATGGCATGTAATTACAGTCCAGCGAGTGGCCTGCCAGAAGAGTGCGCGATGTGAGGAGGCCTCTGTCGTTGATGGTGAGGTTCCTGCTCTTCTGCATGAAACCCTGTAGAAGTCTACGTTCTTTGAACATGCTGGATTGGTGCACTTAAGTTGTTGCACTCTTCTAATTGTCGTTGGCGTAAGCGCTGGAAATTGCTGGTGAAATCAGAGCAACCGATTCTTCAAAGTTCACTGCACGGAATGCAGCCTGTCGGCTAACCACATTAACTCGGCTTCTTCTTCCTTCGACCAGAAGTCGCTGCGAATGGCTCGCCTCGATGTCAGGAAGGCAGCGTATTCTTCGGGGTGTGTTGGTCGGCGGTGCGTTGTAACCCCCCCGCACTGAAGTGTAAGGTGTGCCGCAAAGATGACAAGGATTAGTGTTGGCTCATCGACACGACGGCGTTTGTGAATTGCAATCCATTCACAATGGCCCGCCAATGCTATTTAACATTTTTTAAAGTCGTAATATACTAGGTGATTCGAGAGCCTGACTTTACATCTACACGGGTCCTTGTTTACTATACACAGGACATTAACTGCACCAAGGTCGATGGGGAGAGAAGGGGATACTCAGTTACCATCTTTGATTGTGGTGAACGAGTTTTACCATTAAGAGAAAGTTTTGCAATGTCACCAGCTGCGTACACAATTCCGTTGTGTTAGCATGAGTACAATGTAATCCAAACATTGTCTACTCGCCTTGGTCTTCATTTCTTGCTAGAAAATTGCTGATTTCCTGCTTAGAATATAACGCGTCCAGTTCGGTTGGCAAAAGATCCGAAGTGGGTTGCAAAACCTCAAATGTGATTTGCAAAAGGTCCAAAGTGGTTTGCAAGACGTCCAATGTGGTTCGCTAAACGCTCAGTATAAAGTGAACATGGTATATATAATATTTCAGACAGTTTTTAATGCGTTTACCATTATGAATGCATTGCAATGTGATACTGCAAACCCATTATAAAAGTGTGTACACCTTAACCGTTAACATGGACACAGATGTATGTATTCGCCATGCACGGGTACGTCAGTTGGCTAAGTGGGTAATAACCATTAAACACACCCTGGTGGGTTACCGTGAATCAGTTTCTAAAAGCCAGAATATCTAAGAACATTCGTCGCACAACGAAACCGACACTAAGTATATACACACGGTTTATTCAAACCAAGTCAAAAATGCGCTTTTATGCACCCGTGATGGGTGAATTTTCCGATTTGACGCACATGTTATCAATAGCACAAAAACAGAAATTCAAAAGCAATGGAACAACAACAAAAGAAAAAGCCCAAAGAAAAACACAACCCCCCTGACAGAATTTCCTGGTCAGTTCTTGAATAATAGCTTGTGCTCAAACAGAAATCTGGCTTAACAGGGAAGGACCGACGAAGCATTTTCTTGTGGGCATATGGTGCTCTATACTTTCGTCCGGTCGACGAGGTTGATTGATATACAGTTGGAAAGTGCAGTGTGAAAAAGCTGGATACTGTTAGTGAGTATTTCTAAAGCACGGTTAGTACCTGAATTAACGCGTCGATACGGTTGCTTTTTCCAACGTTGGCATTGGAACATCACTGGCCTGTCAAGCAGCCTGAACTGCTTACATAATAGGCCTGAAAAAATCCACATCAGAGCAATAAGTCTAATGTGGTAGCTTGCACGTAGTGATGAGCTTCAGAACTGATAGTTTTGCAAACTTTGGTTATCGGTGAGAACCAACGAGTATCAGGTTTGCATCCTGTTTCACCCTTTTCTGATGCAACCCCCACTTCTGACATCCAATATCTCAGTCAGCATTGATTATGGTTGCACTAATAAAACTTTCCTCTTATAGTTATTTACTCTCCCAACTTGAATTGTCTCTTTTTACTCATGCAGAAATGGATATGAGTAGACCATTCTATTGTCTGGGAGCATATAACAAAGTTGAGTTAGTCGGCCGCACGTGCGATAATATGACCTAAACCCAAAAAAGTCATTCGTCAATAACCTACGACGTGAGCACAATATTCTCCCAATACGTGTTCCTTTATCGGGCATGAACGATATATATATATATATATATATATATATATATATATATATAGGAAGAGAGTGAGAGATAGAGTTCCATTCAAGAGCGTAAGCGATGGACATATATTTACAAACGCATACAACAAGTCACATGCAAATTGCATAGTAAAACTAAAGTACAGGTGTCTGGGCAAATGACGATATACTTTGATCTTAGCTTTTAGTACTTTGTCTACGTGTCATCGGTAAAATGAAATCTTGGATTTGAATAAGCTGGTGAATATAGATTACATCAAGATAGCGACATCACTTAAGGTCATGAAGATATTTGTATATGGTAGCAACGCGCTGCGTTTAATAGTATGCCTCAGAGCTTAGTTTTCCATCACTATCTCGGTGTCATGCAACGCAGGTAATCACGTTACAAATTTACCGTTTTAAGACGCCGGCTTCGTATGAGTTCAAGGTACAATGAAGGAGCATACGAAAAAATAAAATGACAGACTGCGGCGTTATTTTTCATAAAACACTCTATCCCGGGCAGCTGCGAATAGAATAATTGCAAGTAGATCAATGTGTTGTAACACAGATCCATATGTAAGGGCTTGATATTTAGCCATTCAGATGAACTTCAGGATCTGCCCCAAGTACATGCTAAGTATCCACAAGCGCGATGCTTCATCACTGCTGCCATGTGTTTTGGCGTGAGAAGCGTAGTGATTATGAGTCGATTTTAGGATAAATCTATCCATACACTACCGCAGCTGACAAGCCGCAAAAGTTGTTCCATTGGATCAAGTAAACATTCTGATAGATTTACTGATAACCGGTGATGAAAAATGTGGTAATCAATTAGCTTCAAGAAAGCATCTGCTTAGAATTTATTAACGGCATCCAACGGACGCTTAATTTTCCTGACAGAACGAGACAATTAGGCGAATGCCCCTTTTACTTAAAATGTGTCGTTCATTCCCTAATCCGGCAATTTATTTTCAGAGTAGCGAAAGGTGCAAGCAGAATTACATTTTTGATTGAGACAGTCAGACAGCAACTGCGCTTTCGGATACGCATTAGATTGCCGTTTCGGTCCATGACCGAAAAGAGAATCCGGAGGTCATGGGTTCGAGCCTACATAGGGGTCTGGGCGACCCCTCGCAATGTCCTTAGTCCGCATGCGGCTGGTGGTAGTTGAGTGACATCAAACCGTCTGTACGGCGTACCGTGATACAGCTGCTGCTTTTTTGCCTTTTGTGAATCCTCAGACTTGTGCATTCCATCTTCTCTCTATGGGTCAAGAAACCACGGCCTGACGCATAGTCGCCTGTGGTTGAGAATACTGGGGCAGGGGGATGGGCAACGGCCGTCTTGAATACGTACCTGTGCGACTGACGAACATACATAGCAAATGTCGAATTAACTGGAACCTGACTCACTCTAACAGTGAAGTACAAAGCAGGGGAACGTACCTTCTTTTGTGATTCCAGTTCCAACTTCGCGTTGCCCAACTCTAATTCCAGCACCGAAACTCTGGATCTGTGCAACGCGCCTTCATCAATTACTTCATTGCAGTGCACATTTTTGTGTTGATTTGCTTCGCGTAGCTTGGTGATCTCTTGCTTATGTTTTGATGTTATCTCCTCTATGAGACATTCGTTTTCTTCATTTTTGTTGTTCAGCATAAATACAACCTTGATTTCGTGCTCAATATGTCAAAAGGTATTACTTTGGTTAGCTGAGCAATTTTTTTACACATTTTATAATGGATGTTCGTAGTTGCCGGATCGTTTTGTAGCGCCTCCGCATAACGTGGGCTTAGGAACATTTATGCCCGCTTCACTCTGAAGAAAGAGGAACGCTTGATTATTAGTGGTAAGCAGTTTAACAACGGGGAAAGCAAAAACTGCGACCATCTGCACTCCCTGCAGTCCGTATGTTTTTATTGGGCCAGCATGAAATGGGTATCAGCTTTAAAACCTATGCACCACTTGCTATATATCCCAAAGATGCATAAACCAGACAATTATTCAATGCTCTTTCTATGCATCAGCAGTAAGCAATTCCTCGACCCTGCGAAGGATTCGGGCCTGCTGACCTGATATTGCCGTGTGCTTATCCCATATTTCCAGTGCATACATATTTTCAGCAGTCTAGAATATAGACTTAGAGGCATAAAAACCGACGGAAATCAAACGCAGGTACAGCTAATGCAAGAAAGCCGTAGACAATATAGGGAAACCTATGGTTTCTTCAGGGGGTGCAGTACTGCCCGGTTGCTCAAACCGAGGTATGGCGTTGACTTAGAGGACACCACCCAAAGCATTTGCCTGAATAGCCTACTCGTAATTCAGCGGAGTGAATTCAGGGAATCAAGCCAGCTGGGAGCCGGTGACTGATTACTCATTCAATAAGCCTTTCGTTTTGCCGGTTACTGGACAGGGGCTCAATCCTCCCCGCAAATCCAAAGGAAAGTGAAGGATGAGCCAAAGTTCGTCAAGATTAGTTACTTGGATGGGTAGACTATTGTCATCCCCTGAAGCCATTTGCAACAGTAACTCAGACGGTGGACACGAGGGACCCGTTTCGATCCAAAAGCATGTAAGCGGAGTGTGCACAGCTAAGGAGATTCAACAGTGCAAGGCTGCCATCTGGTGGCGTCTAACTGTGTGCTATCTGTGTGATATAGTGCAGATAGTATACAGTGAAGAAGTGATGAGGTGGATAAACTGATCATGAACGGGCTTATCAGCTTTCGCACATTATTCGATGAACGTGCTAGGGGATAGATATTTATTTCTTCATTTCTATTTACTGTGACTACTAGTTCATTAGGGCCATTCAGTTGCATCTAGACCAACGGGTTCCCACTATTAGATACTTTTCAGCTGCTCACGTTCGGAATGCGGCAATCATAGAGGGATCAGTCTGTCCGCAAGCACGCCTATACGCGTGACGTGGGTTGTTTGCGCGACCGTGGTCTGGTTGGGAGAAGAGAAGGAGAGGCCAAGCGATGACTTCTTCAAAAGAAATGAAAGCCCGTACCTCGAACTTAGAGTCGTTTGGTGTCTCCCGACTGCCCAGCTGGGGTCATAAGTATGAGGAACACGTTTAGTTATATAAAGTCGTTGACAAGTCGTAGAGCTCACAGTGGCGTCTGTGCTGCGAGTTTCTTTTTCTCCCTTCTCGCTTATCTACTTCCTCCAAAAACGATCTCACAAGACATGGATAATGTAATGTTTCGTATCTCTCTCTTCATACATCTCATCTTTTCCATTGAGGTACAGTCAGCTTAAGCCTGTTTCCCACCGTCAGCTAATGTGGAACCAGTATGCTACTTTTTCCATCCCCACCGCTTTAGATTCCCCATTCAACCACGATCTCATACCCAGTGCATAATATGAAATTCAGCATGATATTAATTTTTAGTTTTTGTAGCCTGTAATCTTTAGTGTCTTATCTTTTTTGTATTGCGGTTCATTAGCTGAGTTATGTTTCTTACTCTCAGCAGCTCAGTTGATACTTCCATACATATTCATTAGGTAATAGTTCAGGCACCAATATTTCAATATGTATACACGCGGAAATTAACGGAGAAAATTGTAGGCGGCCAGGTGTACTGACGTAATTGTGTCGGATATGGGTCACCAATGTAGCAAGAGTAGCTGGTTCAAGCTAACCGACTTGAAGTATTCGACAGACCACCGCGAGCACCGTTCCCACTGATAGAAAAGAAGGAACGGAAATGACGGAACGAAAGTATATTGGAGTGTACACTGATCCTGTGTATTGTCTACGACCACGACACCGGACGGGGTGAAGCTAGCTAGGGAAGGATGTGAGAGACCGCGCTATTGAGCGGCGCGTTGCATTCAACCGCAGCACCGTGTGCACAAATTGCATGTGTTGGGTCAGACAACCAAATTTAACGTACATGTCAACATTCTGCAAACAACTGTGTACAATAAAATGTCAATTCTATTTAGAATTTTTCCCAATATGGACAATTCGGAGAAATCTCCAAGCTGCTACACTGCCCTCCCTCAGAAGAAAATTAAACAGCCCTTCGGTGTACGTGAGGACTATCTGTCGCGGACCAGCCTTCTACGAGTCCAGGTGATGAAACTGGATGCAGCTGCTGGGGGAGAACCAGGCGATCGGACCTTAGCGCACTCCCACCCGCGTCCTCCCTAACGGTGTCGAAAGGAAAAAAACGTTTGAAAAATATGGCTCGTAGCGGGTAGCCGTTCGAAGGGAAGTGAACGACGCAAAAGTTGAAACGTCCGGCTCCATTGTGAAATTTCGACCGAGTTGATAAGCGTACATTGGAATCAAACGGGAAGCGGTAGTGATAAAAGTCTATAGTGACACTAAGTGTTAAAATGAAATAACCGTATTAAATGTTTTGGGTTTTCTAACGTTTTGCTTTCTTTTGAGTACAGAGCGTTTTGCCAATTTTTGTTTTCCAGTTCGATGACGGAGATCTAAGCAAAAAGCTGCGCTGTCTGGACAAAGCGACGATGGCAATATGGGTGTCGACTTGACTTAGTCGTTATCGGTGTACTAGATGATGTAGAAATCTCAGCGAACGTCCTGAACTGTTGGAACTGTGCGTCGTTGGCGGAGGAACAGGCGTCTTGGTAAAGGCAATGTGGCTGTCGACTTGGGCAACGTTTGAGCAACTACTAGATACTGATTCACGCTTCCCGTAGCAATCGATGACATATACTTTGGTGTTCCGTTGTAGAACACTAAATGGCCTCTGGACACGGATGTTAATAGGCGCAAAACGACACATAAGTGAGGTGTGTTGCTTTGCAAAGAATCATCAAAGGCAATGGTGTCTGAAGAGGTAGAGAAATAGTCTCCTAGTCAACGAAGTGGTTGATCGAAAAAAAGTTCAGCAATAGATAACTGCAAGCACTTATGGCTAACATGACAGTAAGTAACGCCTCTGTCCATTGAAGTGGGTCAACTGATGTGAGGCTGACTTTGAGTTGATGAAGGAAAAGCTCTACGATACCGGTCGATTGTGACTGGTAGGGTGTAGTGGAGGAATGTTGGCAGCCTAAACGTTTTAGCGTCTCTTGGAATTGCGCACTCTTGAAATGAGGTCCTCAATCTGTCGTTAAGGTTATCGGAAAACTGTACGGAGAAACTAAACGACTCATGAACGCTCGAACGATCTCCGTGCTAACGTTTCGCAGCGGAATTGATTCTGGACACCTGGTAAAGCGGTCGATGATTGCCAACAGGCAGACCATGCAGTAAGAGGTGGAAGGGGACCGACAATATAAATGTGCATGCCGGCGAGTCGAGAGTTGGTTGTCGGGAAACGTTCAATAGGTGCGGCTAGGTGGCGTTGATGTTCCGACGGTTGGCAGCGAAGACATATGCCAGCACAATGACTAACGTCTCGTTTGACTTTGTTCTACACGAAACGCTGCGTGATGAACGATTTTCGAGGAGCGAATGTTTGGGTGCGATAACTTATGGAGTGTTGAACACAGTAAGGCGAAAAACACATGGAACTATAGGACGCGGATAAGTTTGCGATACATCGCCGAAAGTCGTTCCTTATGAGCTTGGTAGCGGAACTGGTCGGACGCGAAGGAAACTGAACGCGCGAAGTTAATCAAAATCCGGGTCTGTCTGCTGTGCAGCGGCCATTGCTGCTAGATCGGTGTTGTGACCGGGTGCAATTGAACAAACTCGGGACTTTGCGTTTGCGACAAAGTGTTGCGCACCTGAGACTTGCCGTATGTCTGACTTGAACTGTGAGAAAACTTATATGTGGCGAATCTCCTTTTTTGGTAGATGAGCCTATAAGCTAGGTGAAAGTTTTGTGATCGGCGAAAGATATGAAGTTTCTACCTTCGAGTGAAGATCGAACCTAGTAAATGGCTAGATGAACTGAGAGAAATTCCCTCCCGAATGTGCTGTAATGGGTTTCGGCTGGTTGCAATCGTATCAAAAAGAAACCTAACGGATGTCAAGACTCGTTGAAAAACTGCTGAAAGACTGCTCCTACCGCTTCCTCCGAAGCGTCGGTTACCAGAAAAGGAGCATTTGACCGTAGTGCATCAAAATAGCAGTTTTTGCAAGGGTCCTTTTACGTTCTGCAAAAGATGATAGAGCAGACTTGACAAAAGTGAAAGTACGCTGACTGTCACTAAGCAAGTCATTTAGAGGCTGCATTATCTTTGCGCAAATAACTATGCAGAGAAAACGTCTGAGCTGTTTGAAAGATGACAACACACGAAAATTTTGATTGCGTCAAATGTTTCGGGAAGGGCCTCGATGTCGGAATCAGAGGTCCGATGACCAAAACATTCAACAGACGGTTTACCTCGCTGGCATTTATCCGGGCTAACGGTAGTTAGACTGTCGTACAGGCGTTGAAACGGCAGTCGCAAGAGTTCCAGATGTTCTGACTTGGAGACGCTTGCTACCAAAAGTCGTCCATATGGGCATACACGAAATCTAAGCAGCATGGAATGTCGTATGATCATTTGAAAGGTTTGTGCGGCGTTTCACACGTCAAAAGGCATCCGCAGTAATTCGAATAGACAAAAAGGTTTGATGATAGCAGTCTTAGGGATAGCGTATTCTTCAACGGGAAACTTGTGATAGACTCTCGTTAGGTCGATTTTACTGGAGACGGAATTACCGCTTAAACTGCTAGTGAGATCCTGAATGAGCGGACTATGATACTTGTCAGAGCAGGTGTACTGATTCAGTGCCCGGTAATCACCATAGCTTAACCAGTCTTCTTTGGCGCCATGTCAAACGCAGAAGCCCGCTGACAATTGGGAGGGCGGATAATACCAAGTTCAAGCAAATG